GTGGAGGTGGAGGTGGGGATGAGCCGGGTGGGGGTGGGTAGTTGTTTTGGGTTTCTGCTCGCGGGTGCGTGACTGCAGGTGTTATCAGAATAAGAAAAATATTATTAGAATAAGGTCTTAAGGGGTGTTATTAGAATAGACCCACCGTATATATATATATATATATATATATATATATATATATATATATATATATATATATAGACGGTCTATTCTGCTAATATTAGCAGAATAACTGTTCTGCACACCACTTCGGCACTGCACGCTCAACAGAAGCGCACTGCATCATTTTGACGACGAGCACTGCAATAGAGACTAGTGAACTTCTCGTTGGAAAAAACTGCACGCGTTATTTTTTTTGGTACTGTTTTCGCTCTAATTTTTTAACCATTTATCAGAATGAGGCGTGTAATATACCATTGAAAAGCTATGGATTAGGCGCAACTTCGACATGTTGAACACTTTTCGAGATTCCACACGGTTTAAGAGCAGTTTTGAAAATAGTGCGGCGGATGACGAGTGGCACCGAGCGTTTTTTCATGTTTTTTTCTAAACCGCTTGTTGGAATGAAGAAAATGATACGCCGTTGGATAGATATCGTCGAGGCGCATCTTTTTCATTTATAAATCTTTCTCTAATTCATTACGGTTTAAGAGCAGTTTCAAATTTACTAAATCGCGGAACTCTGTTTTTCAATTTTTTCGAAATTTTCGGTACTGTTTTTGCTCCAGTTTTTTAACCGTTTGTCGAAACGAGACATATGATACGCCGTTGGAAAGCTACGGACAAGGCGCAACTTTCATATGTTGAAATGGTTTTGAGATTCCTTACGGATTTTAGTTAATTTTGAAAATCATGCGGCTGACTTCGTGAGGCAGCGGCTGTTTTTTCGCGAAATTTTTACGAACGGCTGGTCAGAATAATTCAAATCATACGCTGTTGGAAAGATATCAACGAGACGCAATTTTTTCATGTAGAACACTCTCTCTAATACCTTACGGTTTAAGACCAGTTTCGATTTTACCGAAAAGCGGACACTCTGTTCTTCGCGAGACCAAAATCGTCATATTTACTGCACCGGACAGAAGAACGCACTGCTTCAGACGAAATACCGGACTTCATTAGATGGTCAAGGACACTGCATGGTTTCTTTTTGTTTAGACGTATTTTTTCTTGGACGGGGAAAGAAAAACGCACTGCCTCAGACGGAATACCGCACGTCATTAGATGGGCAAGTGCATTGCATGGTTTTTTTTATGGGACGTAAATTTTTCCAAACGTGGTGGAGTGCACTTCGTGTCGAGCGTTGGTACTTCAGGGACGAGGTGAGTGCACTGCATCAATTTTTACAAAATTCTGCAACACTATCAAAAGTGAACCTCATGAGTTTTTATTGTATTTTTTTGTACTTATAATTTTTTTAGCACGTTGACCAAGCGAGTGGACCACAAGGACTGGGCGAGTGAACTACATCTAATATAGAAGCGAGCTTCATTTTGAGATCATTTTTGTTTTTTGTGTTTTTACCAAGTGGACAACAGAGGAATTTTATAACATACAAAATCTGCATTCTCCACCAGCCAAATCACGGTAATTAATTTTTGAAGAGATCAACAACATTAGATGGCCAACGGTACTGCTTCAGATGAAAAACCACATTGCATCAAATGGGGCAAACAAGCTACATTATTACTTTGTTTTTTATCCTAAAAAATCTATGGACAAGACTGGACCCCATAGACAAGGGCAAGTGAACCACTGTACGAATTGATGGGAGCTGCAAAAATTTTGTAGTTTACTTAACTTAACTTTTACAAACATGTCCAAACTGAATGGTCGAGGCTAGTGAACCTCATAATTTTTTTTACAAACATGTCTCAACTGCATAGTCGATGATAATGTACTGCATTAATTTTTAGGGAAAAAGAGGTTCACTGGAAGAACATCCCCAAGAAGAGTGCTGGACTGGGCAAACAGGCCCGCCGCACTGCATCAATAACACCCAAAACCACTCTGAATTAATCTACCAGGAGATCTACTGCACCTACCTGTAGATAAAAGCGACGACCAAAACCATAAATTAGCAGGCACACACCTAAAGAAATTTGCATCATTTTGAAGCAAGTGCTCACTGAAGAAATTAGCAGGCACACACCTAAAACCATAAATTAAATTGCAATCAAGTCATATATACATGGCGGATTGAACCACATTAGCACACGCTTGCTACTGCTCTTCCCCTGCAGGAGATTCAAATCGCACCAGAGCTCACTGAAACAAACTGAAGCTGCAAATGAACAAAAAACTGCACTGCATGTAAGGAGTAGAGTTGAACGCATAGGCAGAGCCGCACGATCGCTACCCTCTTGTGCCAAACTACAAGCCGCACACTTTGACCACGGCAAGTGTACCACATGCGTGTGGACTCCATCGCCGGTGATGGTGGTCAGCCGTTGCCCACAATGGACTGCACACACGAGCCGGCGAACTGCAAGGGGTGGAGGGGCGGCTCGTTGGGCGACCAGAAGGGGAGTTGAGGGAGGAGGGGAACAGAGGTCAGCCTCGATTCGATCCAGCCGCGTGCCCATCCTCACGAGCTTGGATTGCCGTGCAGGGCTGCCCCTGGCTGGTGACCTCCCACACCGGTGCGGTGCGCGGCG